TTTTGATAAAGATAATTGAAAGATGGGGAGACGAATGAGTAATTTACAGAGGAGGATTAAGAAAATGCCTACACAGGGTGCTAAATTTTTTCTTGTTATACTTGCGCAGTACTGGTTCGAAGCGCTGGGCCTCAGGTTGCAACTTGCCACCCTCTTAATCAAATTTTTCCTCCTTAGAAGAATTTGCATCAGTATAAAATGTGTTTTCAATTTTGTACTACTGAAAGTCCTCCCTAAGGTCAGGATACATCCCAGCTTTGCAACAAATGCTTTTCCTTTGTGATGCTAAAGAAAATACTTAAATGCCTTCTGGTATATAATCTCACATATCAATTTATGTCATTATGAGTGGTTTTCGAATGTTTCTCTATGCTTTCTTATGAAAGATTTATGTGGTAACAAAGCTTAGACATTAGTGGATGTACTTCTAATTCAAATGAAGGAGAGGATCTATTTGCTTTGCTTCACAGGACCTGGACAATATTCTAAGTCTTCTATAAATACTTATCAAAGTAGAGTTGTAATTTTTTGCTGCACACAATAACATCACTAACATAGCAACTACCATTGTAAAATTTAATGTTCACTAATTTTATGGCTTAGAAAATCATTAAAATTTTAACTAAACTGACTTGAATTAGGCAAAAGCAAAATGTCAACAATTTTTGGCTCAGGGACATTTGTGCCATGTAAAATCAATGCCGTTTTCTCAAAATAAGCAGATGAAACTTGAGCTATTGGTGAATTGAATCTGTAGGCAGAGGACCTGACTATTCAAAGGTGTCTGCTACAAAGCACTTCAAGCAAGATCAAGTTATTGTTATGACTTTTAAATCTAGTGAAGGTTTCTCTATCAATGAATTAGAAGACTTTGCTTTTAAATCTTCTCTGCATTTCTGCCATGTCATGTATGTGACAACATTTAGGGCACACAGAGAGAGTTGTTCTTGCTAAGTGATCATTTTTTTTCTGCTGCTTGTATGTTCACTGACCTGAATTAAAGGGTCTTGCACAGAAGAAAGAGATCCCAGCGTTGGCTTGCATGCCAGACACCGCAGAGGGTTCTTGTTTTTACAATGACCTGTTTGTCTGGTATAAAAAAAAAAAAATTCCCTTCTCACCCACCGTGGGTGGTTCTTATCCTCTGAGCTCGGGTCCTCTACCAGAGGCCTGGGAGCTTGAGGGTTCTGCGCAGTATCTTGGCTGTGCCAAGGACTGCACATTTCTGGACTGAGATGTCTGATGTTGTTCCTGGGATCTGTTGTAGCCACTGCTCCAGTTTGGGGGTTACTGCCCCGAGGGCCCCGATGACCACAGGCACCACTATGGTCTTCACCTTCCAGGCCCTCTCCAGTTCCTCCCTGAGGCCCTGGTATTTCTCTAGTTTCTCGTGCTCCTTTTTCCTGATGTTGCAATCACTTGGTATTGCTACATCTACCACAACGGCTTTCCTCTGATGTTTATCCACTACGACAATGTCTGGTTGGTTCGCCATTACCATTCTGTCTGTCTGGATCTGGAAGTCCCACAGGATCTTAGCTTTGGCGTTCTCCACCACCTTTGGGGGTGTTTCCCACTTTGATCTCGGGGTTTCCAGTCCATATTCTGCACAGATGTTTCTGTACACTATGCCTGCCACTTGGTTATGTCGCTCCATGTACGCTTTCCCTGCCAGTATCTTGCACCCTGCTGTGATGTGCTGGACTGTCTCAGGGGCCTCCTTGCACAACCTACACCTTGGGTCTTGTCTGGTGTGGTAGATCTGGGCCTCTATTGCTCTGGTGTTTAGGGCCTGTTCCTGGGCTGCCAGGATGAGGGCCTCTGTGCTGTCCTTGAGTCCAGCTTTTTCCAGCCATTGGTAGGATTTACTTATATCAGCCACTTGGGTTATTTGCTGGTGGTACATCCCATGTAGGGGTTTGTCCTCCATGATGGTATCTCTGGCACCTCTACCTCCGTTCCCTGTTGTCTGAGACATTCACTGAGCACATTGTCTGTTGAGGCTGTTGAGGCCTGATGTATTTATGGATCTTAGTTGTTTCGTCCTGGACAGTGGTTCTCACACTCACTAGTCCTCTGCCTCCTTCCTTGCGGCTCGTGTACAGTCTCAGGGTGCTGGATTTGGGATGGAACCCTCCATGCATTATTAGTAGCTTTCTGGTCTTAATATCTGTGGCTTTTATCTCCTCCTTTGGCCAGCTAATTATTCCAGCAGGGTATCTGATTACTGGCAAGGCATAGCTGTTTATCGCACGGATTTTGTTCTTGCCATTGAGCTGGCTTCTCAGGACTTGCCTTATTCGTTGGAGGTATTTAGCTGTGGCTCCTTTCCTTGTGACCTCATCGAGGTTGCCATTTGCTTGTGGTATACCTAGGTACTTGTAACTGTCCTCTATGTCTGCTATTGTTCCTTCTGGGAGTGAGACCCCTTCTGTGTGGATGACCTTCCCCCTCTTTGTGACCAGCCGACCACATTTCTCTAGTCCGAATGACATCCCAATGTCAGTGCTGTAGATCCTGGTGGTGTGGATCAGTGAGTCGATGTCTCGCTCACACTTGGCGTACAGCTTGATGTCATCCATGTAGAGTAGGTGACTGATATTGGCCCCATTTTTGAGTCTGTATCCGTAGCCAGTCTTGTTGATAACTTGGCTGAGGGGGTTCAGGCCTATGCAGAACAGTAGCGGGGACAGAGCATCTCCTTGGTATATGCCACATTTGATGGACACTTGTGCAAGTGGTTTGCAGTTGGCTTCAAGGGTGGTTTTCCACAGCCTCATCGAGTTTGCAATGAAGGCTCTCAGAGTCCTGTTGATGTTATACATCTCTAAGCATTCAATGATCCAAGTATGCGGCATTGAGTCATAGGCTTTCTTGTAATCAATCCAAGCCATGCACAGGTTGGTGTGTCGGGTTTTGCAGTCTCGGGCAACTGTGCGGTCTACGAGGAGTTGGTGTTTGGCTCCTCTGCTATTTACACCGATACCCTTCTGTGCCGTGCTCATGTGTTTATCCATGTGTTTGCTTATCTTGGCCGCTATGATGCCTGACATGAGCTTCCAGGTTGTGGAGAGGCAGGTTATTGGTCAGTAGTTGGGTGGGACTGGACCCTTTGATGGATCCTTCTGGATTAGGATTGTCCGCCCTTCAGTTAACCATTCAGGGTGAGTCCCACTTTGTAGTAGCTGGTTCATTTGGGCTGCCATTCGCTCATGGAGAGCAGTGAGTTTCTTTAGCCAGTAGGCATGGATCATGTCAGGCCCTGGTGCTGTCCAGTTTTTCATACCTGAGACTCTTTCTTGGACATCTGTCACAGTGATGGTTACCGGGGCTTGCTCAGGGAGGTTGCTGTGGTCCTCTCGTAGAGAGATCAGCCACTGTGCATTGCTGTTGTGGGACGCCTCCCTTTCCCATATGCCTTTCCAGTATTGTTCTGTCTCCAGCCTTGGTGGGTCTGCTCTGTTGTTATTGTTACCCTGCCATTGAGAGTACACCTTAGCTGGTTGAGTGGAAGAGCCGGTTAATCCTTCTGGATTCATTCTCCCTTGTGTATCTCTTTAGGCGGCTGGACAAGGCTTGGAGCCTCTGTTTGGCAGTCTCGAGTGCTTCAGGTATGGGCATCTGCCTGTACTTTCTGGGTACTGGTCTTTTCATTGCACCCTTGTGGAGCTCTGACAGTTGGCTCACTTCCCTCCTTGTTACCTTGATTTTAGCCTCTAACCGTCTTTTCCATGGTGGGTATTGGGTCTCATGGTTGCTCTTATAGCCAAGTATCTCAAGGATTACTGATGCTGAGTTGTAGATCAGCTCATTGGTTTCTGTTATGGTGTTGGTAGGGATCGTTCTCAATGCTGCATTCACATTCTCAATGAGACTTTCAGATGGTACTTCACTCAGCCGTTGTAATTGGCGCCGGGGAGGCCTGGTTGTCATTCGGGTCATGATTCTCTCTCTCAGGTCAGCAGCTGTCTCGTTCAGCTCTGTTTCGCTCATTGGGGCCGTGTATCCCCTCACTGGGTGGGGACTTGTAGTTAAGTCCCCACAGTCCTGACATCCGGGTTCCTCCCTTTTGCCGTAGCATTTGTGTTGTATCTCGTCAATCTCAAGTTGTGATAGCAGTTGCCGTTTGCGGATGTTGGAACACTGAGCTACTAGTTGTTTAGCGCTTAGTGTTGACTGGGGATGTCGAAGTAACCATTCCTTCCCCAGTCTTTGCATGTAACCTCTCTCACTAGGGTTACTTGAGTAGTAGCATTCCAACAGATCCACGTTTTCATCTCTCGCCCATTTCCGTCTTGTTCCAGTAGCCCATTTGTCATCAAGGTGCTCTGGTTCCCCAACACCTGACGCAGACCTTGTTTGGCCGGGCGACGTCTGAGCCGGCATGTTATGCAACTTAGTATCTCTCATGGTATGAGGTAGGCAGTAGCTTGAAGGGTCTTGCCTAAGGACCCAGACTGGATTCGAACCCTGCCCTCTCGGGTGATATACTGATGCCTTATGTATTGAGCTATCCAGTCAGCTATATATATATATATATATATATATATATATATATATATATATATATATAAAACATTTGCAAAAATGTTACCAAATTTAGTTAAGTACCCAGTAATTGTTTTGAAGGAAACTATGTGCAAAGGAAAATTAAAGCTTCTTTTTGAAGCTAAAGAGAGTTTTGATAGTTAGTTTATTGACTAGTTTCCAATGTCTTTACATTCATACTGTAGATGTTGTTCATAATAATAGAAATTATATATTTTTTCTCTAGTACAGAAGTCTATCTTTCGAAACTACATCCATTTATTGTGATGGAAAATTCAGGGCTTTGTGCAGAAGTTTAGTATCTCACAGCAACTGGCTTAAGACTGTGGTCTCTTTAAATCCACTTCAAAACCTCTAATTAAAGGGTGCCTTAGTCTAAATCAGTAAATAAATAGTTGACTGTGACTTGCAAAACAACATATTTATTAACATTTAACAGAAGCCACATTTTTTTTCTATTTTAGTAAAAGTCCTCTTAATACCACAAAAAACAAGACTTGTAGGCACCAGGGTAATTTATTTTTTTCCAATCTTTGTGGGTTTACCTACATACCTTCACATAAATGTGTCTTTCTTTCACTGCTTACTTGAAATGCTTTCAGGTCTTCCTCTCACTAATATTTAAACAGAAATAATTACCAGAGCTGCTTTCACTAATTCTGATCATTGCAATACAAACAACTCATGTAAAAGAGTCTAAGCCTCATTTTGTTTGATAATCTGTAAATCACAGGGATTTTAATGTGCTTCCTGAATCTTGTTTTTAAGTGAAATCCTGACATTCAGGTTACAAGCTCTTTGTAGCCATTTCCCATATGCATGAACTATAACATGGCCTAAAACAAAAATGGACAAACTAACTGCCAATTCAATCTGGAGAGACTCACACAGTGAAGAAAATAGCAGTTAAAAGATTTGAATGGTACAAGATCTTTGGTGCTTGGGCCTGGCAGAAGATTGTGTGCCGAGGTTCACCGCCAGCAGGTCGGCTCGGGCGAGCTCGGGATAGTCTTCCCCCCGGGACCAAAGCCAGTGGAGGAGCGGAGCCTGGAGATGGAGGAGTGCAAAGGGCTTCTGGAAGAGATCCGTCAGGGCGAAGGTGGAGATGGGGAGGAGGTGGGTCAAAGCGCGGCTGACAAGCAGGAAGACCCAAGGCAGCTTGAACTTTTGAAGGCGTCCTTGAACGATGATAGGCTGGAACGGTGCGGTGGTCCTGATCCTGGTTGGCTGCAACGAGGCGTTGTGATTAGGTGATGTGGAGAAGCTGGGTCGAGTCTCCCAGCTTGAATTTTTGCCTTGGCTCCATATCAATACATTGACAACTGAAAAAAAAAAATGTGAATTGTGTCTATATGGACTTTGCTGCTGTGACACAAGCACACTTAATTTTTCAAAAGCTTGCAAAAAAGTGTTCAGAGAGCAAGATGACTGATCCAACTCTTGCCCTCCTCAGAATGTCTCTTTGATAAGTGGAAGCGAAAAGTGATAAGACAGCAGCAGGCGGAAGCACCGGTATAAGAGCCAGATGATTTAAAGGTCTAATATCAGACATTATAGCGATTCCTATTCTACAGTTCCTTAATTTTATTCCAATGCACTCCTCTCCCATTGCTGCACTGTCACACAACACAAGGCTCATAGGTGTTAACTGCCTTCTGAATATATAAAAAAAGAATTTAGATACACATGTTTAAAAGACGTTAATAGTATAAAAAATGTCACCAATTGTTAGAAATTTAAAGGATTAGAAGGGTCTGCACTCCATCAATGATTTTGCACTTTACTTTAATATAGTTGAAATTACTCAGGTAGATTGCACATAATGTATAATTAAAATTAAAGGACTGAGCTAAAGAAGTTAGAAAAAAGCAAAACACAATACGTGAGGACACAGCTGCAAGTCCAAGTTATATGTACAAAACACACATAATGCTTTCTGTGTTCCTGTAGCTTTTTCAATGCCTTTGGGAAAATTCAGTTTCACGTTTAGCTTGTTTGCTAATATTTTATGATTGCTACATAACTAAGGGTGAGAAATTTCCAGGTCAAACTTCCATTGTTAGCTTCCAGTGAAAACAAGCATTGGGTTTCACATGGTGAAAATATTAATGTCTTGATCAACTTACTCTGTCTTACTTTATTTTCCTTCTACTAACTAGCAAGCGAAAGCTAATGTGCCACAATGTTATGTTAAATGATTCTGCCACCCTCAGCATCTGTTAAAAGCATTTTAAAAAAGGACATAAAGAACTACTTATAAAGTATACATAGAAAAGGAGATGCCAGAGTCTGTTTTCATTTTCACATTTACTCCATATCCAGACCAAATAACTAAGATTGAACATGAGCTATAGCTGCACAATAAATGCAGTTTCATGTCACTTGACTTTCAGACTCTATTTTGTCAGTTTTAGTAGGACAAGAACCAAGAGAAAGGTATTGCTCAGAAATGGTTAGGCTATAATAGGAGAAAGGAGACTTGGTGGAAACATGGCCAGTCATCGTCACTAATATCCAAGCTCAATACCCTTTGGATTGTGTTAGTCCAGCTTGAACAAATGCTTTTTTTTTTTGTCTTGTAATGGTGTTTTGTCATGGGGTTTGACGAGGTATATAATTTCAGATCAGGATAATCAGAGGTTCACATTTTAACAAAGTGTGACAATTTTCCACAAAAGGTCAAACCCCCAATCACTTAAATTTATGATCCTCAAACATCTGCTTCTCCCTCAAATTATGCAGAGTTGTTTGTCCTGAAATCCTTCTTGGGTCGCAATAAACCAACCAGAAAAGGCAGTTTGAAAATGTCTATAATTATCTCCTTTATATTTGGATTGAGAATGTAGCAACTTTTCTATTTACTGTTCTTTTTTTTCAGTATTCCAACAACTATGGCTTCTCACCCTTGAATGTTGCTACTTATCTTACCAGTCTTCAGGTTTTGCATGTATAACAGCCCTGAATGATCCTGCTAATTAAAGTTTCACTTAAGCATAAACATTCACATCTCAGATTCAATTCAGGACCAATTGTGGGAGGCATATAAAGTAATTCAAAGCAAATTTGAATAACCTTATGTCAAAACATCTATATAACGGTAGTCTGGTGACTAAATCAGGGAATGACTGTTAGTGACAACAAAAGGATGCATGAGCCGTTTAAAAACTCCTACACGCCTCATTTGAAACCCAATGCTACTTGATGTTGCGACTTACTTCAAGGATCCAGTGTCCATCAATAATTGTGTCTCAGGTGTAACTTGTTCCCCTTTACAAGCCTCGAACACCTGTCTTTCTAATCCTATCAATTAACCTGGAGACTAATAACTAGCTTGGATTACATTCAACATAGCCTGCTCATCCTTTAGTCTGCTGCATCTCCTTGTGCAATCTCCAAACGACAGTAACACAATCCTCTTTTTCCATCCACAATCCAGGCAAAAAAAAAAAAAAAACAGCACTCTGGGAAAGTGTCCTGTCTTTATGTCTCCCAGCACTAGCGTTTGGCCTCCCATCTAAAGCAACCAGCCATCCACCCCACCACTATTTTCATTTTCTTGGTACATGCTGCACAGTCTGTTTCAGACCTTGTTCAGGTCTGTATTCAAGTCACAGATGTAGTGGCTGAATTATATTATATAGGGCAGGTATTAAAGTGAGTGATTTATTTTTCTGAGATTGAAGTCAGACTTTAGCCTGGAGCCTGTCATGTGATTTGACTGCCCAAAGTCAATCCCCGAGTTTTAACAGGCACTTGTTCCAAACAAGGCCATGTTCCCAGGGGCTGCACTCATTCTTATCGATCTCCAGAATATCATCTTTAAAACACACCCTCAGGTAGATATCAAGCATGAAAAGGCTCCCTGAGGACATGGGCAGAACAATAGAACAATGTAAGTACATACAAGGCCAGTTGCTACAGACAAGTGATAGTGTAAGGTTGTTGTTTTTTTCTCTGCCTTTAGGCAATAATGATTAGCAACGAACTCAAGTTGTCTTTTTCTTGATTCCATTGGTGTCACTGTAGAACCAAAGTTGAAAAACAAAAGAGAACAGATGAAAGTAAAGGTCTTAGGGGAATGACTGTTAAAGGAAGTGGCAGAGTAGCTTTGTGTCCACTGTTGGTAGTAAAGTATTAATCAGATTGTCGTATTTCCTTCAATTTAGAAAACACATTTCTTAAAAAAAATATAGGAAGACATAAGCTCTTCATTAACCCTTTGTATTCCCGTAGAATGCAGGACATTGAGCAAAAGATATAAGCATACAAGACAAATGTGAGCAACACCTTTTTTTGGTCTGTTTTACAGTATCTAATGTTATCAAATAAATGTTTAAATTATATTTTTCCCAGTATGAATTTATAATCGCATAGATTCATTTAGGTTTCAAAAACATTCCTCAGAAATTTTGATCCGTACTGACATGCCAGCATTACAGAATTGCAACAAATCTGTCAGCTGCACATCCAATTTGCACATCTCCTGTCCAGTGCATGGCCAAAGTGCTCTATTGCGTAGAGACTTTGAATGACACTGAAGCACAGTGAACTCTCTAGGTTGTTCTACATGATTTAGACTTATTGACATGGCACATTTTCTTTTTAGAAGAAGCTTTCAGAAGATGGGTACATTTTGCTTGTGAAGGTGGTTGGCAACAAAGCTTGCGTAGGCTGTTGATTTGGAACAGTTTGGTACGATGATGCTCACAGAAGTTACAGAAGTTGGCTTGCTGTCTCCTTATGTATAAAACAGGAATAAACTTTAATATAAAGGGAAATTTAGTGAAAGATTGTTTATACTCACTCCAAGAGCAAAGTTCCTGTCCGCTGTCCAAACTGGTCTTTTCCCACCAGCTCCTGTTCTTCAGGCAGCCACAGCTCCTGGCCTAGTCCTTTTTGAGGATAGAGCCAAACTAATTACAATCAGCTGCCTTCAATCCATCCCTGCAAAAACAAATCTATAAACATGCAAATAAAACCATTCTAAAACATGCAAGAGAATTTCTTTCCCTACTGCCACTGGAAGAGAATAAGATCCAGTTAAAATCACCAGGCATTCCCCAAAGTGTGTATATCTGTTGTGTCTATAGCTTAGCAACAACTGGGCTGATGACATCACATTCAGTGTCGGCAACATTGACGGTGGAATGTGTTTGGTTGCCAAAATAACACTGTTGAATGAAAACTTATTTCTAATACTTTGATATCTGGGCTGTAGAGACAATACTTTACAGCATAATATCCTTGATTTCACCATCTAATGTTGACAGTTATTGCTAATCATCTTTGTTCTCGACACTCCTCTGTAAATCTCTGACATGATCCTGCAACCATGTCTCAATAAAGTATGTAACATTGCTTTTCTGATACTCTTGCTGGGTCGTTGTTAGTTTGAGTTCATTTGAATTGCTTGCCAAAGTGCTGGTGGAAGATATGATCTGAATACACCTCTTCTTCATCTCCTCTTTGCTTACCTTTGTTTACATCTTTGCTTTTCAACTAATTGAGGATTAAGTATTATATTTTAAGTTTTCATACTGAAGTACAGTGAACTCTGTACTTCAGAGAATCATTAAAGTCATAAACTTCTTCAAATTGTTAGTTGAAGAAGTTATCAGTGTTCCAGGATGTGTTTATTTTGCGTATAATAAGCATATAATAAGGGTTGTTCCATGACGATGGTCGAAGAAAACTGCAGGCAGATTCCAGCAGACTAAAATGCCTATGTAAAATGTGAAGACCTGCACACAAACTCATCTGATGAGAGGTGGAGGATTTTGAAAAAGGTGTATGATGATCTGGGGAGTCAAACAGATAGGCTCAAGCAATTGGTTAACGGGAACAACTTTGAGGTGTCTGTTTAAATGGTTAATTCTCTGTTGAGTCTGCAGATTAACTTCTTTGACATTAGACTCCAGTGAGCTTTCCCAACCACTGTCCAAACATTGGACACTTACTCTATCAGATCTTAAATCCTGAGCTTCAAACTAGCCATCTACCAACTGTCCTTTCATTCATTGCACTGTCCTTCATCTGATAAAAAAGAGCAGCTGTTCATGTCAATGATACACTTAGGCTTCCATCATTTATCAGCAGACATATTGTGTGTTTGTTCGAGCCTACAATTTTGTCTTACAAGTCAACTTAAGTGCTTACAGGCTGCCTCTCATAAGATAATATCAAGTTGTGCAATTTTGTTTGGACGATAAACATTGATCCATGACCTTTATCATCGGCGGCAAGCAGATACAACAAAAGCATCAATTTTGCATCTGCTTGATGACATAGATAATGCTGACGCCAGGAGCCTTAAATGATATCTGAGAGGCTGGGATCATGTTTAATTGATTCAAAGCGAGTGTACCCTAGGGAAGAGTTATTGAAAAGAAAACCCAGGACTGGGCTTTCAGCCTGATTTTGAGCTAAAAAGTATCACATGAAAATATAAAAGGTCTTATTTTAATCTATTGATCAAAAGCAGAACACTGAAAATAGTGACATATGTCACTTTTTGTGAGTTTAAAATTAGATAATTTACTATTTGATTCACATTTCCCATACATGGTTTGGTTTTTCTGCTAGTTAAGAAATTTTCACTTCTCTAATCTTTATCCCAAATTTAAACATCAATGACATGAGCTTCTAAAATCATTTCCCTTCATGAAATAATTTAAGATCTAAGTTGATGCATAACATTTCTACAGTAAAAAGACTTTCTTCAGAAAAAGTATGATTCATAATATTGAAATTATTGATTTCCTTCCCTTTGTTCAAAATCAAAAATACAAAAGGATTTGAACCATTTCAACATCCATTACACCATTACATGTGTAATGGATGTTCATAATGTTTCAAATAATAAAATAAAAACATTAATAAAATGGTTTATTTAATTATATTATATTTGTATGGCTAATGCCAACAAGTTGAAGGAAGTAAAATTGAAAGTCAACCAACTGATCAGAGAATATTAAGAACATCCATTTTATAGAAACAGGCTTACGGCACACTTGATAACATGCTTTCTTCACTGTGTAACTAGTTCACTATGACAGCCTGAATACACAGACAAGATGCAATGCAATCCCAGTGAGCAACAAACAAACGCAAAAATAAACACAAAATAAAAGCACAACTTGACAAACAAACTCAGGAAGTGGAAACATTCAATGTTCACCATGCCACAAAGGTCGAAAGAAGTCAAAAAGGTCTTTAAACTCATATATTTGTTCTGTTTTTGTAAAATATTTGGTGAATCTAAACAGCCATATTCAATAAATTAGAATATGCATTCCAAGAATGCTCATATGTCAGATTTAAAGTACCTTCTTTAAAAATGACAACCGATAAATAAGTAACTAAGAAAAGTACTTTGCATTCTTGTGTGACTTTGTGAACCAACCTAGATTTCTAACTGATGCTGTAATCAAGGGGTGTCAAACTCCAGTCCTCAAGGGCCGGTGTCCTGCAACTTTTAGATATGCCTCTGCTCCACCACACCTGAATAGAATAATTAGGACATTAGCAAGGATCTGGAGGAGTGATCTACACAAGGAGGAGGTAATTAAACCATTTCATTCCAGTGGTTTGTACCTGTGGCACATGTAAAAACTGCAGGACACCGGCCCTTGAGAATTGGAGTTTGACTCCTGCTTTCTCTCTTTCCTGATATACAGAATAAATACATTTGAGCTGATGCTGGAGAGTAAGCATGGGTACACTGATGAACATTACTTATCTCCACTCTAATGAGGTTATATTAACCCTTGGGGAGTCTACAATGAAAGATTAGATACATTCTTCTTGTTATAGATGCCACCATTACAAAATGTCTGGTTTGTATTTGCGGCATACTTTCAATTGTGAATTTATGAGTTCATATAAATTTGTACTCTCAAAAGAGGATGCCAGAAGTAAAACTTTTTTGGGGGGTATGAATCTCCCCCCATACCCAAAAAAAAAATAAAATAAAAATTCTCCATCTCTCCCATGGGCAACGTTTTCTAAAGTGGACTCGCTAAGGCGTAGCAAACAAGAGTGAATGCCCAGCCTGGACTGCAGGGAAAGGCAGATCAATGAGACAGCTCACTAACTCATGCGTAGCAGCTTTGTGAAGATAGTCGTATGTGGATAGTTCTGCTTTGGAGACCTTAAATCAGTTTTTATGGGTTATATATGTGTGCGTGTGTGTGGGTGTGTTATCTGCACTGGATCTGTGGCGCATGACGCATGCAGGGGGATGGTCGTGTGTGATTTTGAGAGACCCAAAGACACAAAGGAATAACGTATAACCTCTGCACACCAAAGGAAATTGGTAAAGCTTGAGTAGTGTAGCTGGGGAAAAACAGGCTTGTTACCATACATATAATTAGGAATTAAATGGATTTATGGTACCCAAAATTTTCATAAAACATTTTCAAGCTTTGCAACTAGAGATGAAATTCTTTTGTGTGTGAGCAAACTCCAAAGGTTTGCTCAACTCAAAACATCGCAGGCTACATTTTTTGTTCACTTCCAAAGAGGGCACCAACATGATTGTAAACCGTCCTGAGTTCAAGTTCCAATGAAAATAAAATGTAACATTGTGGAGTAAAATTCACAGCAGAACAGAACTGTTTCTGACCCCCTGCTTAGATCTCAGTCCCCTATGCTGCACTCCGCAACAGAACAGATTCTGAAGTAAACACTCACCCATTATAGTCTACGCAAGAGTATTTACTCTGCACATCCATGCATGTGGCACCATACACAGCATCTTTTTTCTGTATGCCTAAATAAGTGGTGAGTCAGTTTTCAAACATCACGTTGCTCCAACTGGAAAACGCACAAGCACAGCATCCATATTTTTAAAATAATTCACCAAGACAGACTACATTTTCTTGAACTACTAGCTATATTGATGGACATATTGGAATATTGGAACATCATTGCTGTCAGCATGTATTATTCGGATTATGTGGATTTATTTCTGAAATATATTAAATCAAGTTCTCTAGTATATGTCGCAGTTGAAGCGTCAGTCAAGTAGGAGAGTAATGGAGGGCAAAAATATACATTTTGGAAGTTGAGAATTACAGCATGTTATGTGGCCCCACTCATCTTCTTTAACACACATTATTGTGATATCTCTCACTTCTCACTCATGCTTCTCTGAGCCTGGGGTTTGCAGTGGAGCAGAGCTCCATGAAGTGAACACGAACGGCTGCACTCCACCAGCAAAGTGCACAGCAAAGCAGAGCAGAGCGGAGATTTGTGCAGTGTAAATCCAGGGTAATTTAGAGCACAGGCATCGGTATGTCAGAAATGCCAGCTTCCAAGCCAAAGCTGACAATTTCCCTCTGTTTCTTAAAAACAAATGAACACAAGGTGTCACTGGAACATCTCATCTGCATAATCTAGGTCTCCTTCACATTTGTCAATTTCTAAATAAATGTGACTTAAACACCAGAGGGATTTATGGTTTTTGTTTCTTTTCTTTTTGTAACACATTCTTTGACTTATGTGTCTTACACTCATGAGCGATATATAGTCCTTTTCTTGTCCAGCCTGTCATTGTAGCTTGACAACTCTTTGCACCATTGGATGATACATTGAACAGTGCTCTGAGAAATGTTTACAGATTCCCATTTCAAGAACATGGAAGATGTACTTTCAGTGTTATCCTGGAGCTGTCTGGCTTATTCGTCGATCTTCATGATGCTGCTTGTTATCCAGTGTTCTCTTATAAAGCTCATTCTTTTTTTTTTTTTATTTTACTGAGAATTTGCATTTATACTCAGAATAAATTACACGCAGATGTTCTCTACCTCTAATTTACCAATTGAATTCTGACGGTAAGATATAGCTTTATTTTCTGTTTAGAGGTACAAGACTTAAAAAGAGGGCTTAAGATATTCATGCCACAATTTTAATATTTTTATTTTTAGAACTTTTTGAAAGGCTGTATCTTGTTCAGTATTTTGTGATATTCTATCATAAAGAATGACATTACAATATCATGAAGTTGGTGCATTGTCAAAATGTGGAAAAAAAATATGTAAGAGGTGTAAATATTTTTACAAGAAAAGAAAAAAAATCACCCACATTTTG